TCCCCGTTTGTTTTATATAACATTTAAAATAAAGTTAAGTTAAGACTGGTTTTACTGGGATTTATGTCACCGGCTGGAGTATTTTTCGTTCTTTTTGACATTTAAAGTTTGATTACAGCTCGCCTCACGCTTCTGGTTGCCAGGTCTGAGGTTTTGACTGAAAGGCTGCCACGTCAACTTTTTTGTCTGCTCTTAGGTCGACTTTGTTTTGCATGAAAACTATTTTTACATATAAAATAAAACAAAAAAACAAGTTTCAGAATAAATGATTTATTGATTCCAACGAGTCTGGATCAGGTTTTGTCACACAGTGCAACAGGTAATAACCTGTCACTGAAAAAGTTCCCATCCAGTGCTCAGTTTCTCTGTGTTTACACAAAAGGCTCTGTTTCTATGTGAATTACAGAATTACTCACAAACCCCGAGTAAGTATGTAAATAATAATTAACGACTTCTTTCTGCGTCTGCAGTCCACGTACAGGCCTGTCGCGCCCTGATGATCATCTGTCTGCTGTTCGGCCTCGGCTCCATGATCGTCGCTCTGCTTGGACTCAAGTGCATCAAGATCGGCTCAGCCACTGAACAATCCAAGGCCAAGATCGCCACCATTGGAGGAATCCTGAGCATCCTCGCCGGTGAGTGTGACGGTTCATCTCTGTCACTCCACACGCTACAAACACTGAAAAACTTTGTCTGAAGTCAAGAAAAGTTTAATTGATTTTCTATTATTAAGACACTCAGTAGAAATTTACTACAAAATACAAAATACTGTCATAAGTTTTAGATATTTGGATATTTTTGCATTCAGTGTTTTTCTTTCCAAGCTCCACAGAGTGATTGTGGATTATTATATATTGATGTATTACAGATGCTGGAAGTTGGAAGTTACGTTTTTTGTTCTTCTTTCTTTTGTTTCAGTGAAGTTTCTTCATTTGTTTACTGAATGAATTTACAGATATATCAAAGAAATGATTACAAACTTCTGCATGAGCAAAACTGACATGACGTGTTTGCACAGTCTGCAAACCTGGAGCATTTCTCTCCATGTTGTTCTCAACTGAGCAGATATTTGCAGTTACACGAGTTAGATCCTGGAGTTTTACTCAGTAAAACTGGAGCACAGACTTTTTGGATGACCTGTCAGTATAACTAAGTGCACCATGCTATTTATTAGATAAAGCATTAAGAAAAGGCACCAAAATAAAAAGGATCCTCTTGAGTAACACAGACACGTGGAGGCCCTCATACATCCCCGTGTAGGGTTAAACCACAAATGTTTTTGCAGCATGAGGTGATGTTTTCATGCTTGGGTCTCTACCAGGATCAAAGCCAAGCTCCTTCCTCTTTTTCCTCTCTTCTTGTGTAGTTAAAGTTTATTGATTCACGTTTGTGTTTTTTTATATAACACCAATTAAACGTAGGAACTGTCAGCTTACAGTTGTCCATATGGCAAAGTGAAGAGCCTCCAATAAACTGAGTGTTTATTGAATGTTATATTTGTAGGAAGTGTTGAGTCAGAGGTATAAAAAGAATAAAAAGACATTGAAAGTACAAACTAATGCATGCTGTGAGGTGGAAACGAAACAAAAGTCAAGTGAAACTTTAGTAAGAACTGGTGATGCGATGCTGCGAGTGCACTCACAGGTGGTGGAAAAAGAAGAAAGGAAGTGAGGCTGTAATACTTTGCTTGTGTCTGCAGGTCTTTGCTGCATGGTAGCTGCTTCCTGGTACGCAGCCCGAGTGGTTAATGACTTCAACGATCCGTTCTACGGTGGAATGAAGTACGTTCACCACACAGATGCTGAGTTTTGATCTCACGAGAGAGTTAAAAAATTATTTTTAATTCCTCCATTAATAAATTTGTTTTTGATGCTATAAACTAATATGACACAGCTTTAAATGTTAATTTAATCTGATTTTATTTTGTTATATTTGATCTTTTTTGCATTTTAAATGTAAGTAAAACAAATAAATCTGAGCGTTTTCTGCCTGAAACTTCAGTTTAAGCTGTTTGGTGTTTGGTGCCATGGTTCAGTCAGACCTCTGTCACAGAGAAAAACTCTCAATCAGATAGTGAGATGGTCCAGTCGTCTGATAGGTGAGCCACAGTCTTGTTTAGCCTTCCTGTACTCCAAGCAGGTACAGAGGATGGCTTTATCAATCCTTAAAAATGGTCCCCGTCCTCTACGGGGTGAATTTCAGCGTCTTCCCTCAGGACGGAGGTTTCTATTTCCGAGATGCAGGACAAAGCGTTATAAAAACAGCTTTGTCCCCGTTGCTGTCACTGAATTAAATAAGAACTGTTTTTGATTCTAAATATTAAAATTACTATATATGTGCCACAGTGAGGTTTATATCTTTAGGTATGTGTGTTTTTAAAGGGAGCCAAATGCTGTCATTTTTTCTGTAAAGCAGACTTACCTTGCCTGTGGGTATATTTAAGGTTACCTTGACCTTAAGCTGATTTCTGTCTGTTAATAATCGTCATGTCATTTCCAGGTTCGAGCTCGGCACCGGCCTCTACATGGGATGGGCTGGAGCCTGTCTGGCCATGCTGGGCGGAGCTTTTCTCTGCTCGGCGTGTAAGAGAGCATCGGTGAAGAAAGGGTAAACACGCACTCGTTACTTTTTATTGTTGAGCTCTTAAATGACATTTTCAGTCTGGGGATGTTGCTGCTTTGAGAATCTGTCTGACTTTGTCTTTCTTGTTTTGCAGCGGTTACTATGGAAATGCACCACAGAAGGTGTACACGCCCACAGCCAAATCAGAACCAGACGCCAAAGCTTACGTCTAAATGCAAACGTTGTGCTTTGGATGGTCCCACAATGTCATAACAACACGATCATGCAGTACTGTCTGTGTACACCTTACACTCAGACTTCTGTGTTTTTCTGTCATTTTTTCTAACTTGTGTTTGAAAGAAAATCTTAAATCTTAAAGAAATCACAAATATTTACAGATGATATTGATCAATATATCTGTTTGTGATTCTGGAAACCCTGTGTGCAGTTTGTTTTTATCGCAATAAAGTTTGTATTACATAAGAAATTGAGGTGTTGAGCTATTTTTTACAATACTCGTATTGAATCCAAATCTTCTGCATGGATGTGGCTTTTCTATACAAACATTTATGTACTGTATATTTATTTGGTGTTTTAAAATATTCAGATATGAATCCTGACATCTCACCTCTATAAACGGACTTCCTGAAAATCCTCTGATTTGTCAGTAAATTCACCAGTAATTATAAAAATGCAATTAATCTAAATCAGTTGTCATTTTCACGAGATGCTTTGCTTCTGTTTGTGTTCTTTTTTCATTGCTTTCTCGTCTCTTTTGTTGCTGATTTTGCCTTTTGTGCTTCTTAAATGTGATTTTAA